TATATTTTTTGGAAAAATTATTTTAGTATTTCTCTCCCATGACCTTATTTTAGTAATATTTATAGTTTTAGGGGACGAAAATTTTGTGGGAAAGTGGTGAAAAATTGATGAAGTAATTGGACATAGACAATTTTCAAAGGTTTACTGTAGGCACATGTGCTCCGTTTGTCGCTTGTAAAGGGGTGACGGGTACCCAATTGTCCATATTCTCAGCCTTTGTCTCTCTATTTACACTCGTATGCGATAGACTCAACGTGACCTTGTATCTAAATTTAATTTTCTTTTAACTAATAAAATTAATTTATTTTATTAAATAAAAATAAAATAAACTATATCTATAACCACTTAGTTATAACAAAATTAATCTTATAATTATTTTTAAATTTTTTCAATCAAACTATTTAATTATTTAAATGATATCAAACAAATCAACAATCATTAACTTTTAACATAGAGAACGATATGATAGTTAAAAATTTAATATAATTATATATGATAAATTATAAATTTAATCATTAAATTTTATTTTATTCATTATACTCTTAATTTTTTTTAATTTAATCATTTAACTCTATATATTAAATTTTTTATCACTCTATTATTCTCTCAATAATAGTGTAATTATGTGACTTATTTTAATATTAAAATCAGCCATGTATGATAATCGAATGAAGTTTGATAATTAAGAATGTAAGAGTATATGAGCGACATGAAGAGAATTAATTGTTTAGTAATTATGATTTTAAATTTTGTTTAACCACAACAATAAATGGACCATGTTATTCCATTCTACTAATGAAACAATGGATTTATCATTGTTAACCCAATGCACATCTTGTATATGTAATCCAACTTAAACACGCTATTAAAAGACTAATTAATTCTAAAATGACCCACTTAATTCTTAATAAACAGTCTAACTTTAATAGGTTTTAACAAACCCAAATTGATGGTAATTCTAACATTGAAAAATAAAATTTAAAATAAAAACTGAAACTTAGATATACAAAAATATAAATACTTCGGACTAAATTTGTGATTTACCCTTAAAAATGTTTTTAATTTTTCCAGCGTTATATTAATTGTATTGAATATTGACATCGTAGTGGGACTGGGATCTGATTCCAACTTGAGCATATGGTCAGATTTTTTTTATTTATTGGAGAGACTGTGAAGTGGGTCCCATTGTCCAGAATAATTGTATTTGATACCATCCGGAGGAATCCAATGGGAAATAACCCTATAACATATTATATATTATCAGCATTCAGCGGGACTGACAACTTGCCTTTCTCGTCCTGGAAGAAGGTTTTAGGGATGATGTAGACAAAAATTCTTAATGCTCAAATCATAATTCATTATTTGCGTTTAATGTAAAAAAAAAAATTGGATTTAGATTCATAAATATGTTATTTATTTTACTTTAATGTAAAATAATAATATTTGATTTAGATAAGGGTATAAATGAAACAGGTTGAACGAATAATATTGTATTTATATACGATTATTTATTTTTTAAATTATTCATATTTGACTTATTCAACATTCAGTAATATATTTGTTTAATATTCACAAATATATTTAATTATAAATTCATAAATATTAATTAGACAACGAATACAAACTTAAAAGTTTAATTTTTAAAAAGAATGAAGATTATAAATCACAATATCCCTAGACATGTTATAATTGAACTAGATCGGATTGAATCAGATCATTAATTAAATTAAAACGTTAATAGAATCATATTATTAAATTAATAGACTGCACGGCTGCACCATTGATTGGATTGAACAGTTAACTTGATCTGTGTGATATGTCTCATTGATTTGACCCGCTGACCACAATTGAGTGTTAATCATCGACCGTGGTTGTACGATTCAATTCATGTCTAGCTAGAATAAACCCATGCACAAGATTGATTTGGTGTAGTCAAAGTCATATTTGTTCGATCAATTCAATATGATTTGTTATTCTAGGCAAAATCTCGTTGATAGTGCGTTGAATTTTTTTTTTCACGAAATAGTGGGATCGTCAGATTAATTGCTCAAGTGGTGTCCTCTACAGTACCGGGGGTAGGTCGCCATGCACGCCCGGCGACCTACCAGGTCGCCATGCACGCCCAGCGACCTGGTAGGTCGCCATGCATGCCCTGCGACCTACCAGCCAACGACCTCCATGCCCATGCACGCCCATCTCGCCAAAGGAGCACGCCCATGCACGCCCATCCATGCCCTGCTGCATGCTCGCCTGCTCGCGACCTTGCCGGGACTCCATGGCCCCGAGTGTCCCATGCATGAACCGTTCCTTGGTCGCCTCGAGTGCCCCATGCATGAACCGAGCCCCGAGTGCATGGCACGATCTCCCCATGCATGAATCCTTGGTCGCCCCGAGTGCATGGCGACCTCCTTGGTCGCCGGGCGTGCATGGCGACCTAGGAGGTCGCTGGGAGTGCATGGCGACCTATGGTTGGGTTGTGCATGTCCCAGAGCAAGCCACGTCGTAGGTCGCCCGGAAGGCATGGCGACCTACGGCCACACTGTTGATTTCGCCCTATTTCAGCAAATAATGTTGGGATAACGTTATTTCGTGAATTATTTATTTTGAGGGCATTATATCGTGAGTTTAGCCGTTATTCTATGTATATATATATAAAGTTGATACTGTGTGGCAAGTATGATGAATAAAAACTTATTCTCTAAATCACGTTCTCTTCCTCTCATTCTATAATTTAATAGTCTCAAACGAAACCATTTCTTGAATGATTTACCGAATCCCGTACAACTCAAACGAGATAAGCAACAAATCATGCATGGTTGGATGATGCAAAGAATGAACACAATTAAGGGCAATATCATTTTCCGTTAAAAAAATTAACAACAATATGAATTGAACGTTGATCTTCTGATTGAGATATGATAAAATATGATCTCATGATCTAAAACGACTATCATATCTCAGTCAACATGTTAATGTCAAGCTCAGACGACTGTTAATTTTTAACGATAAAATAAGAGTTTCGAGCATAATGAATAGTCGGGTGACCATTTTGTAACTTTTAATAGTTAGGGAAATTAAAAAACAATATCCTATAGTCGAAAGATCATTCGTATAATTTATCCTTAAAATTATAATGAAAATTTACAATCATAAACGTAAACTAAACATATAATTAGGGCATTTTGCTATAACTATTGACACAAGAAACTAGTCGTGGAAAGTATAAAAAAATTATCCAAAAAATTCAAGCAAAAGTTAAGTATGAAAAAATCTGATTGCATCAACAAACGAACTACAACAAAGAATCAAACTACTGAAATACCCACTAACATCCGCAAATCAAAGTCGAACATTGTGAGAAAAATATTTAAGAACACAAATCACGCATCCAAATCTAATCAGATGATCCAAAGTAGAGATGATCAAAATTATGAGAAATAAGTATCATTTTGGTCAATCGAGGCGACGTTAAATCTAACTATGAGAAAGTTAAACGAAAATAACAGTCAAACTACCGACAAAGAAGATCGAAAATGTGTCAAGAGATAGAGAGAAATATTTCATAAAGACATAGAAAAACATGTCATAAATGTTGAGTTATTAGAAAATAAAAAGAGAAAATAAAAAAATAATACATAAAAGCCGAACTCATATTTAGGGTGAAAAATATAACATGACATAATATTATAATCATCCCTTATATTTTTATAGATAATTGCAACAATATTTTTTTATATTTTATTTTTTTAATTAAACTCTTATTTTATCTAATAAAAATAAATTATATATTTATATTTAGGTCAGGTTGAATCAAGTTGAATACAAACTCTATCCTAAAAAATCGAGTCGAGTTTCAGACTAGATAGGAATCTCTTCAACCTCAAGTCAAGTTAGACACAAGTAGAATAGTTGATTTTAGGATTAGGGTTTAGATGAGCCAAAAATCTAATTCTACCCGATTCATGGACATCCTTAATATAAATATAAAACTTTAACACTAGTTGTATGAATCAATTCGAATTCAAACTTAAGCAGAAATTTATTTTAGAACCGGATCACGGATCGACTGGTCCATGGATAAGCCTAGAGTTGAGTGAGTATACCCAAATGTATAAAAACTTTGTCCCAGGCCCAACTTTTAAAAGGTCTAGCCGAGACCAACACTCCTAAAGAAAATCCGAGCTCATCTGGTTCATTATATGGTCCTGCCTACCAGACCTGTTAATTATATTGGCCTGCTCAACAAAAACCATTTACGTATCAGATTCTGGATTTCTCGAAAAGATCCGATGACATTTATCTTTATTTATTTTTAGGTAAATTACATTAAATATAACTTAACCCTATTCGTTGGTTTGTTTATATCATTAAACTTGAGATTTTACCAATTACAATATTAAATTTTAATTTTATATTTAATTTTATCACTCCATCGTTAAATTAATAATATGACGATGACATGGTTAAAGGTTATTAAAGGTTATTATGTTCAAAATAACGTCGTTTTGACAATAATTATTTATGTTCAAAATAACGTCGTTTTGAGACAATGAACTCTGGGTGTTTGTCAATTTTGTCATTTAAATTTTAAACAATTTACTTTGTTGGCACTGTACTTTCTGTTTGTCACCTGCAGTCAATCATTGCCTATCACCAGTCATATATTACAATAATATGAGTATCAAAGCGTTCATATTTCTCTCATCTTTCTTGTCATATGATTTATTTTTCACGAAATTCACTTAAAATCATCGATGATTCATTTAAAAGTTTAATGTATTAATATTTCGATCACTTTTAATAACTGTCATTTTTAACTGAAAAATACGAGTTTAGAATATATGAATAGTTAAGTGGTCATTTTATAACTTTTAATAGTCGAAAGACTCAATAAAAAAACGCCACATAATTAAAAAAATATTTTATAACTTTTAATAATCTAAATACCAACCAAAATATTAACCCTAATTCTCCGTAAGTAATTAATCCCGATCGGCTCTTCCTTCCCATTTCTCTTAGTAGAAAATAGGCTATGAATTTTATTTTTCTAATATATTTTTTTTATTTGATTGCAGCCTTTTGAAGAAGTGGATTTTGGTGATAAAAGAAGATGCCAGACACCCAAGCTCTCGTCAATGATTTTCTTAACAAGCTTAAGAAACGGTGAAGTATTTCATTTGATTTCCATTTCATATGAATTTTAGAAGAAAAAAAGGATAGGAATGAACCTTTCTTTTTTGTTTGTGTGGGGTGGTTGGGCAGTAAGATCGAGGGTTCACAAGCAACAGCGAAGCAGACAGCTGAACTTCTTCGTTCAGTGATTTCTCAAACTCGTGTGCCTTATACGAACCAGGCTGCTGCTTTGATTCAATCGGTTAAAGCTGTTGGAGAACGACTAATTGCTGCAAATCCTGTCGGTATGACGACCTTGACCTTTTGGGTTAATTTGGTTTTACTGTTTATTTTCGAAAAATTGTGGTTTGTATTTGGTTTCGGTTTCACTTATGACTTGTTGCTTATAAGGAAACTGTTGGCAGATATTGATTTAGAGCACTGAAACATTTGATAATTATAGGAGTACGTGCAAGAATTGCTTTTTTTTGGGACACTGTTGTTAAGTGCCCAACTCTGTTTGTCTTTATAGCTAGGAAATTAGTAATGCGCCAGTGTTTTGTATTACCCTCTAACCGTCATGCGAACTGAAAATTTTAACCCCATAATATTTCCTTTGTGATGTCTTACATTTTATGATCCTGTTCAGTTCGACTAAAGAAGCTGCATTAAAAAGCAACGTTGAAGTGAGATTTTGAAAGAAAGAAAAAAAACATTGCATTGAATTTTAAGTTTTTTATTTTTCGGTTTAGTTACAAGGTAACATATTTTCGTGTAAGCCCTGTTTTGTCTAGCTTTGTCCTTCTGGAGCAGAGAAGTTGCTCAGAAAGTTGGGTCAAACATGCACTATAACTCCTAGTAATTGTTGATAATTGTGCTTTGGTATTCTATGTTAATAGTGTATGCATGTGATGGCAGACCTTGCTGTGGGTAATGTTGCGAGGAGTGTTTTGCACATCATCAGAGTGGAATCTCTTCCTATTCACAAAAATCTTCTAGGAATCATATCAGTTTCAAATTAGTATGGACACAAAAGTTAAATATTTTATGTTCTGGATGCTTTTTTGAAGCTTTTCTTGAAGCTTTTCTTGTTGTTTTATTTCTAGTTGTTGATCAATACTTTTCCTTTAAGCAATTAGTAGTTTTGAATCATTTAATTTATTTATAGAAACATCAATGTATCTAAAGTAGCTTCTGTTAATTTAGTATGGGAAGGGGAAAAGAATAAATCAATTTATGTTGATATTATTACTTGCAGAAAATAGAAATTTCACATTGGGGCATAATCCTATAATGTTATGTTGCTCATACTCTTCAGTTTTCTTGAAGTAACCCATGTCCTACACTTATCTGAACACGAGTGTAAGGGTATGACACTACTCGGACTCCAAAGACAGATTGTTGGAAAAATTCGAACATACTGGGCCTGACACGTACACCTGAATCTAAGTAACATAATGTATACTTAGCAGGGCTATGAAATGAAATTCCTTTGTCATTGTGTTCTTTATTCGCTTGTGAATCTGCTATAGATATTGTAATTTGTTGCATCTCTTAAATAGTAGACATTAACATGAACATTATAGTTGACTGCTGATTTTCTTTCTTTATGCAGTGTTCAAATGGACACACATTGTGTTCTAGTTGCAAGCCAAGGGTGCACAACCGGTGTCCTACGTGCAGGCATGAACTTGGTAATATTAGGTGTCTTGCGTTGGAGAAGGTCGCTGCATCTCTTGAGCTTCCCTGTAAATACCACAGTTTTGGGTGCATAGGCATCTATCCATATTACAGCAAGCTAAAACATGAGTCCCAGTGCTCTTATAGACCATACAGCTGCCCTTATGTTGGGTCAGAATGCACGAGCATTGGTGACATTCCCTATCTTGTGGCCCACTTGAAAGATTATCAGAAAGTTGACATGCACAATGGCTGCACTTTCAACCATCGATATGTCAAATCAAATCCGCATGAGGTTGAGAATGCTGCATGGATGCTAACGGTATTATTGCTTTATCCTTGCTTCACTTTTATCTGTCATACTTGGTTTCTCTCTAACCTGTAGAAGAGGAATTATTCTACTGTCAGTGATATTCAATAAAGTTAACTATGTTATTTAAGATTTTAGTTTAAAGATTGTTACTGATAGTTGGATTTCTTTTCTCAAATTTTAGGTTTTCAGTTGTTTTGGTCAGTACTTTTGCCTGCATTTTGAAGCCTTCCAACTCGGTGTCTCTCCCGTGTACATAAAATTCTTGCGGTTTATGGTTGACGATAACGAAGCAAAGAATTATAGCTACAGCCTGGAGGTGGGTGGGAATGGTAGGAAGATGATTTGGCAAGGGGTGCCAAGAAGCATAAGAGACAGTCATCGAAAGGTCCGTGACAGTTTCGACGGTCTCATTATTCAACGCAACATGGCTTTGTTCTTCTCAGGGGGAGACCGGAATGGATTGAAGCTTAGAGTGACGGGAAGGATATGGAAAGAGCAGTGATGGTATCATTTTTTGGGTCCCTGTAATCTCCATTGATTATGCTTTGTTGTTAAGGCACGTAAGTAGATTGTTTGATTCGGGTAGTTTTACAAGATCTTCTGCTCATGTCTTTGTTTCGGATTGTAGGAGACAAACTCTCTTTGCTTGTGCTTGTATGAGATATACATGAATGGGAAAATGTAGCTTTTTTAGTCCTACAAATCTAGCATCTACCAATCATATGTTCGTGTTCACTTTTATGACCTTTTAGGGAACATCTTGAGATTAAGATGGTAAGAAAAGTCCTATAGTGATTACATTGCTAGTTGAGAGTGTCACCATTTTTTCTCGATACAAAAAGACAAGTTATTAACTCAAAATATTTTTTTTAAAAATATTTTTATATATTCTACAAGACAACATTATTTACAGGAAAAGTCTAGCATGTCTTTTTTTTTTCCCTTAACATGTTTTGATCATATAATTTCAATCGAAAAATTATTCGAAATATAACTAAGTTTTACTCGCATACTGATTTAAAATTTTATAATCTTAAACGCAGTTAATTATAACGAGTTTTAGGAAATATAATTATTTTCTTTTTGTCATATTTTTCATATAGACTATTCCAAAAAATAAGAGAATCTTTGAGAGTCAGATATTTGATTTTTGATTCTTCATGGTGGTGATGAAAAAGACATATAAGCGAAAAAAATGTATATTTTATTGCAAATAAATAGTTATGGGCCATCTAATTTTAGTTTATTGGAAGGTCGATATTTATAATCCTCACATGTTCATTAGTATTTTATAATATGCATATTTCATTAACACATCATCATTAACCATGAAGGGAATTTATGCCCAATTCTTTCTTAACTCATTTTTAATATAATTAATATTATCGTAAATAAGATGTCTAAATTTTTGTACCCAACTCTTCCCTAAATTTCAAATGTTGTCTAATAACATAAGACTATTGTCCATAATCAATTTCCATTTATTTGACATCATTAATTATATCATAACTTATCATTTTAATGAATCAATCTCTTAATATAAAATTAGATCAAAGTAATAATAATAAATTAAACATACTTTGAAAATAAATAAGCAAAACACAGAAGACTTTTAAATTAAATTGAAAATATAGTAGATGTAATCTTTAATATCATATTAAAATCTTTATTATTGAAAACGACCGATCAAAATTAATGTTAAATAAAATAATTATAATTAATATTTATGTTAAATAATTTATTTATTTATAAGTCTTTTATTATTTTTTCTCTCCTTAATGTTATATTAATATCATACTTGTATTATTGAATCCATCGAGTGGGTTCAGTAGTTAAAGAGAGTATTATTCTCTCTTGAGATATTGGGTTCAAACAATTGTATTTATAGGATGTGCGTGCATTGTTGATGGTTAAAAGTATTCTGGATAAATACTACCTTTGTAATCAACCTAGACTATTAAAAAAATTAGACTTATATTATTATACACTAACAATATATACACTATGATCTTAAAATTAATTTTAATTGCAGCAAAAACTAAAAAAAAATATTTTGCAGGAATGAAAGTATGATACCGTTTTAAATATTTAACAAATTTGGTTTTATGAAACGGAAATTTTGGGTTATTTTGGGCTTTTTCTGACCAAATCTCTAGAGGCTCAGCCCATATTAACAAAATTTTAAAAATCCCTAATTCCCCTTCCTGCGAAATCAAAATTTCCTCCCCAAATCCCATATTCTTCGAAGATTTAATTCCAGAGAGGTCACGTGCTATCACATCCAATTCATCAGGGAAGAATCAAAGAGTGTAAGAACGAAAGTCACGTGCCTAAAAATGGCGGCCTCATCTCCAGCCTTGACAAAAAGCATCGGCGAAACAACCGCCATTTCTACTAAGTCGACGCCGACAGCTACAGCTGCTGCGGCGGTAGCGTCGATACCTATTCCTCCTCCGTTTCAGCGTATGGATACTCCGCCTAAGACACAGCGGGGTCTTAATAAGCCCAAATGTATTCAGTGTGGCAATGTTGCCCGCTCCAGGTAAACGAAATTCTCTTTTTCTCTGTTTTTTTAATCTCATTTTTTGACAAAAATGTGATTATTTTGGTTTGTATTTAATCTAGTAGGAATTTGGTAATTTCCCCACAGAAGAACAAATAGCTCTAGGAAAAAATATCATCTATTGAAACAATAAGATCAAAGTAGTTAGTACGGTACCGATGTTGTGCCGCTTGTGCTTCAGTGCTAGTGTGTTTCGGTTTACTTTTATTGTTATCTTATAAATCTTGGTAAAATTTGTAAGCTCCACAAGTCTATATAGTTGATACCTGTCTACTGAACCTTATGTAATTAACTTATTAAGTTGACATAATTACTTGGATTGGCTGTTTGATTACTTATTATTATTTTTTGAGGAGTTTAAAACAATCCAGTGATAGTGTCGTAATAAAAAAAATTACCCGTCAAATCATGCTTGTTTCTTGAATTATTTGTGCAGGTGTCCGTTTCGCTCATGCAAGAGTTGTTGCTCAAAAGCACAAAATCCATGCCATATACATGGTATGAACGAATCGATCAAGAAAACTTGAGAAACTAGTTTGTTCTTTTATTGTCAAATTGGTTGTTTTGATAGCAGGATGATATCTGATTTTGTGGTTACTTATAAAAATGAAGAGGTTGGAGTTTTAGGGTTGGTGCATGCTGGATATAAAGTAAAAATCATGTTGAAGATAGTTAAAACTTAGAAGGGATGCTATCTTGACATTATAAAGATACGAGTATTCTTCTTGCTAGTCTTATACTATGTTATTGGACTTGTGTTTGAGAGTTGTGTCCGTGTCCTACACACAGGTATGTTCAAAATCTTGAAGTTTTTTTCATGTATTTAGAGGGTCCATGAAGGGTCATATACGCATGACTATGTCTGCAAATGTTTGGATACAGGTGTTAGACATGGGTACTGCAAATTGAATAGTCGGAGTAACAAAGGTCATATACCTTGAATTATATTTTTAGGGCACTTTGCAGTTGCGGATGGAAACTTTCTGTATAATTAGTAGAATAGTAGCTTAGTTCACAAGATTAAACATTTTAAGTTTGTTGGAATGACCGTATATTCTATTGAAGCCTAGCCTTAGGTTTAGATTTTTTTCTAAAAGCATGGTCATATAGTTTTCCCCTTATACTTAATAGCAAAGGGGAAGTTTTTGTCGACGTTATAAGTTGCTGTCTAAAACATGAAACTGCAAATACCATTTAGATGATATATTGCTGTGACATTGAGATGATTTGTTTGTTACCTTACATCCTCAGAAAGTTCTAAAGCAATGTACTTGGTGAATCGGTCCTGTAGAATTTTCCACAGAAGCAAAATTTCTCACGTTCTTTAAGATTTGGGAGCTTGGCTAAATTCTTAGCTTGGAGAGTTTGTCAAATGGTTATGTGAACACATTGGTTTAATACTTGTTATATCCTTTTCATTTGAAAGCAATCGTCTGTTATGTGTAATACACACCGTGAGTGCTTGTATTGAGTGACAACATAATAGGTTTTGATTAGGTTGGAAGTATTTGTATTGTTCTCTGAATTTCATAACTAGGTAACAAAGTAAGAACACTCTGAAATCTGGTGTCACTGTTAGACGCAAGCATTGAACTAGGACTGTCGAATCCATTGAAGATGTTTGTTTTATTGTTGGTAGAGCACTTCTGTTTCTGATTGAGCTAAAAGTTGTGTCAACGGAAGGTGGTATGGAAATTCAGAGATTTTATGTTCTTTTAGAGAGGTGGAGAAACAAAGAGTTTGTTCCAAGACTTCAGTGGATATATGTATTGTCAAGGAATGAAACAATGGGCATCATTAGTAACTATCTGATTTATATTGCAATTTCAGTTCTAAAGTCAAATTCAGCTTTTCCAGAGAAAACACTGACAACAAGCACTCCATCACCAGACCAGAAGTCAACTCAGGCTTCTTCTCAAGTGTAAGTTGCAAAAATCTGTTACTCATAATAAGAATCTAGTTTTCTTATTTGATTTGGGCATAGAAGTTGATCTGTGTGTAGCTTTCAGAACTGAGAATGGGGCAAAATCTGAGAAACATATTTCTCTATAAGCAATGTCACTTTTCATGTGAAACTGGTAATTTGGAGAAGAATATAGTTGCCAAACTTTGTTAGGCATGCATGTTGTTTCTCACTTGTTTTTTGGGTTTTCCTAAAATCTTCAAGGCCGCATACTGTTTTGTTTCACTTTTTGAATTGCTGATTTCATCATTGTCTGAACGAGTTCAGCGCTATCTTTCTGAGCTTAAAATTGATCTTTGAGTTTTTCGTTTGACCTGTGGTTGATTCTTTGCTTGTTGAATGTTATTCAGGACTTCCTTAAGGGTTCCCTCGTATCGGCAACTTTCCAATGCTTTTGCACAGTTTGACAATCTGCAGGTTCGCACAAAGAAACACCTGACCAGAAAGGTACGTTATAGTTTATAGTGAACAGATACTCTTGTTCAAGTTTGATATATCACTTTATCAGCCTTACCCCTTGTGCAATTTCAGGACGCTATTGCCTTAAATGAGTGGAGGTTTTCCAAGTTGAAGGAATTCAGGGACAGAAATATTGAAATCGAAAACGATGCTTTTGACCGGTACATGCAGAATATTAGTTTACTTGAGGTAGTCCTTTTTACAGAACAGATGGATGAAGGGTCTGAACCTAGCCCCACTTCACAGGAAGGTGAGACTTCGGTGATGACTTCAGGTATGAAGTTGACACTAAGATCGAATCCTGTGAGAACTAATAATGCCAGAAAGAGGATACAGCAAATTGTTGATCAGGGAATAAAAAAGCTGAAGAAAAGTGAACCTCATGATGGTTCTTCTGATCCAGACGACCAAAATAAACTCGATAATATGTTGAACAAGGAAAAATCCTTTTGGGTTGAGAGGTCTTCAATGTTAAGTGATATTGTCGACAAGTTGAACAAAGCTCGAAATGAAGAGGATATAAAATATTGTCTAGAGATGAAAGCGCAACTTTACAATCAAAGCACAATGTCTACTCCAACAGAAACTAAAGATCTCGAAGCATTGAATGAGCAGGGTCCAAAGAACAATGTAACTCCAGGACAGGTAGCTAATTATCCATGGCGAAAATTGTTTACACCAATTGAAATTGATCAAGAAACTCTCAACAAAGTTGATGCACATTTCTCTTCCCTGGAGCAGATTGAAGACTTATAACTGTAAGCAGTATTATTCTCTCAAAGACAGATTAGTCTTAGGTTAACCTGTTAAGTTATGATTCGGGGTGATTGTCTGAATTTTCCTCCCATCCTTAGGCTTAGTAACAATGGCTTAAATTTAGCCGAGTTAGTTCATACAACCATTCTAGAAAGTGACATTTAGTAGGTCTAGAGTTTAAATTCCATCGTCTATAAGTTTTTCTTGGGTAAAGTACAGAAATGGTCCCCCAACTACAAGGTGATGTTTTGTTGAGTCTCTTGATTATTAAAAGTTATAAAATGATCTCCCAATTTTAAGGTGTTGTTTTGTTGAGTCCCAGACTATTAAAAGTTACAAAATAGTCAACCGACTATTCATATGTTCCAAACTTGTATTTTTCTGTTAAAAAATTAGCGAATGTTTGAGCTGGATGTTAGCCTGCTCGTTGAGATATGATAAAATCCAATCTCATAACTTTTTAAGTTATATTTTATGGATCAAACCTCTGTTTACATTATACTGTCGAACTAATGCTCCAAATATTATGCAATTCAACTAGTGCTTGAAAGGAATGGCAATGCCAATGGATATCATTGAGATATTATTTTATCATATCTTAGTCAACATGTTAATGTTTAGCTTAGACGACCGTCAAATTTTTAACGAAATAGGATGAATTTGAAACATATTAATAGTCGAGTGATTATTTTGTAACTTTTAATAGTCGGAGACTCAACAAAGCAATGTCTTATAACCGAGAATCATTTTGTAATTTTCCATAGTCGGAGGACTCAAAACAATGACATATAGTCGATGGACCATTTGTATACTTTACTCTTTTTTTTCCACTTTTACTCTCAAAATTTCCACCCCTTTTAGGCTTAGTATTAGTGGTGTAAACTAGCTCGGTGGGTTCATGTCACCATTGTAAGAAAGTGGCATTTAGTCAATTTGGCAAAGTTAGTTCATGTAGTCACTTTAGAAGATAACATTCGTATATTTGGAGTTTGAATTTCTACATCTATAATTAAGAAGATAAAAAAAAAAGATTGTGGATTGCGACTTATTTCGAATACGAGAAAGTGGGTTAAGTTTACTGTTGTAATTTAGGCTCTCTATGCGTAGCTAGCAAGGTTAGTGGAGAAGTTCATGATGTATTGGATTTGTTTTGTGTGATCAATTTGAATGTAACATAGAAGTTTATTTTACCTTCATTTCTTTATGGTTCATTTTTATGCTATTTTGCACCGTAATTTGCTTGGTCGTGGATTTTTTTTCTTTGGCCAGATTTTGCAGGTTGGATACGAATACATTATGGAAAATATATAACAGGAACATCTAAAAGTTTATATAATACGAATTATTATTAATTGATAAAATAATTTAAATTTGACAATGATATAATAAAGAGAAAATAACCTCAATGACAAAAAATGCCTTATAATATACGATTTTAACCAACTTTTTTTTGGATTTATCAAAATGACCAACTAAATCGCAATGCGATCGATAATTCGCAACGCGATCTTCGGTATCGTAAATCAGTTTCCAGATTCGCAACGCGATTCTGACTATCGCATTGCGATTTCCCAAATTCGCGTTGCGATTTTCCTAATTCGCAACGCGAATACGTAAATCGCAATACTGAATTTCAAATTCGTAACTCGATTTCTGAATTCGCAACAGGTTTTAATTTCACAACACAAATGTTTTGGGTATATAACTACGCAGCAGCAGCAACTCATAACCTAAATCCCTAAATCGCAACTAATTCCATCTCCATCTATCACTCTCTCCGGCGACATCCGTTCCTATATCCAACGACATCCTTCCCCATCCGGCAACAAGTTTTAGTTTCGCAGCTCGTTTGTTTAGTAAATTAATTTACAATATTGAAATCATCTAATGTTGATCATGTTTGGATAGATTTGTGTTTTGGAGGGTCATGGGAGAATGTTCATGGTGTTTTACAATATATGCCTTTACCCATGAATCTTCAACTAAAACTGTCATTAAAAAAGTTAACTTATGAAACTCTAATGTTATGTGTTGCAAATAAATTGAATTTAGAGCCCCTAAGTGGATTTAGGCTATCTTATCAGAGAAATGGTAAAGTTTATTTGTTAACCGACAATGAAGATGTTGAACGATTCATTGCTTACATTAGTGTTTCAAGTGATGATGTTACATTGTACGTTGTTAAACCTAGAAGTAGTGAAGTTGGGTCAGTAGCGGGTAGTAATCAACTAAGTTTTTCAACCCTAATTTATGGTGCTCAAAATTTAATGGTTCCACCACAATTTCATCACCAAGCAAATATTATTTCACCACATTTCCAATACCAAATACAATCTCAGAACCCACAACCTTTCCCTAATCCAAATCCCAATCAACTTTCAGCACCAAATTCCGGTTTTCGTATTGACCAGTTAGACGATGATGAGCCAACAGAAAAAATTGTAAGTACTAGTCAGTATTCGAAATTTGATCTTGGTCAATACCCAGACTTTGATCTTGGTCAATACTCGGATTTTGATGATTTTTCAGAAGAAGAAACAGACCATGCGTGTAATGATTTTGATATTGGTCAATACTCGAATTTTGATGATGAAACAGCCGTTGCCGAGGAAGATGTTGTTGATGATAATGAGGAGGAAGTTACGACTGTAAATGAACATGTTGAGCATCCATTCTGTAATTCATATAACACTGAAGAAGAAAAAGAAGAAAAAGAAATCCCCAAAGAAAAGTCCCCGAAGAAAATGCCACGGGAGTATAACTGGAATATGCCAGAATTACTTCAGATACCGGAAGAAGAGTTGGTAAAGATAGCAGTTGATTGTTACACAAAAATTATTCGTATCAAGAAAGATTATAACAACTTTGTAAGAAATGTTAACAAATCAAGCAAAGATCGTTTCGAAACAAGGTGTATGATTGACAAAACTGTATGTGGCGTATGATTGCAAAGAGGATAAAAGATTGCGAAATGTTTCAAGTTAGGACTTTTATTGATAAACATACATGTTCAAGAACCCAAGTTTTTCCTCACCATAGACAGGCAAACAAAAAGGTGTTGGGTGGTTTTCTGGCTGAGTTAATGTTTTTGAATGGTAGGGTATATCGGGGACATGAAATTATGACTGACATGAATGCTCGGTTCAAGATTAGTATCTCATATTCTCAAGCTTGGAGAGCCAAATGTTATGCCTTGGAATTGTTGAGGGGGTCGCCAGAAGCATCGTTTGCCCAACTGCCGGCTTATTGTCACAATTTAAAGCTGAAAAATCTTGGGTCGGTAACTCATATCAAAACAGATAGAGATGGATGCTTTGAGTTGTTGTTTATCGCCATTGGTGCTGCGGTTAGTAAATCAATATAATTTTGTTGACTCATTTTTGTTAGTTACATGCATTTCACATTTAAATGATTATATTTCTTGTGTATATGATTTTGTAGATTCGTTCGTTTATTAATTGCATGCGCCCAGTTATTATAGTTGACGGAGCACATTTAAAAAGTCGATACCTTGGAGTAAACTTATTAGCAGTAGCCATGGATGCTAACAATGGGATACTGCCAATAGCTTACGGGGTTGGCAAATCTGAAACCTCTGATTCATGGACATGGTTTATGGGGCATCTTAGGGATTGCATAGGTCCTATTAGCAATCTGACAATCATATCCGATAGGGCAAATTCAATTGACAACGCTATTAGAAGGTGTTTCCCAGATGCTTTTCATGGACTTTGTGGTGTTCATTTGTATAGAAATCTAAAATCAAGGTCTGCTAGTATAAAAAATCACAAATGGACATACTGGAAGGATGTAAAAGCTTATCGGGAAGTGGATTTTAATAAGCATATAAACTGTTTAAGACGTGTTTTGCCTCAGTGTGCTCAAACACTAGAAGATGTCGGGTTTGAAAGATGGTCAAGAGTACATCAACTTGGAGCAAGATATGGTTTCATGACGTCTAATAGTGCAGAATCAATCAACGCTCTAACTTGTCATTCCCAGAAATTACCCATTACTATGTTAATGGAGTTTTTTCGAGCCTCTATTCAACAGTGGTACTACAAGAAAAGAACCATGCATGTATTATTTCTTTAAATTCGTAACTTATCATATATTTTACTAAGTATTATTTATTTAAATTTACAGGAACATTAGAACATCGTGTTACACCATGGACAGAAAAAAGATAACGAAACGTGTTGTGAAGTTAACATCATGGAGAGTTGAACCATGTTCAAACACTTTGTTTGAAGTACTGGATAATAACTTAAATGGGCTTGTCGATCTAAATGTAAATATGTGTAGTTGTATGAAATGGCAAACATCTGGTTATCCGTGTGGCCATGTTATAAAATTTTCTCTTTATCTAAACCAAGATGATTCAAGCGCATACGCTATGGATTGCTACACTACAGAAGTATATCGACAGACTTATGGCGAGATTGTCTACCCTATTCCACATCCTTCTGAGTGGGACATACCAGATGACTTACAAACAGTTTTGCCACCAGCCATGGACAGAAGGCTACCTGGCCGACCAAAAAGTCACGATCGTATGCCGTCTAAGGGTGAAGAGAAGAAGAGATCGACATGTAGTCGGTGCAAGGAAAGTGGTCATACAAGGTTGACATGTGGATCACCAGCGCCATCACAATCATCTTTTCCTCTACCAAAATATGGATCCTCATCAAAATCCAAAGCTCATATGGTGTCAAGTAAAAGGCAATCAAAATCGCAATCATCTTTAAAATCCCAATCACAACCGGCTTCACCTTTTGGGACTGTTAACTTAGGTGATTTTTAAATGCAAACGTTGTATTATGTGTGAACTTTTAACATTTTCAGTTAGGCATGTATTAGTAACTTGAGTTTGAAAATTGCTATGATCTGTTCAGTTGTTATCACTTATTAGGCATTCATTTGACTATCGCAACACGGAAATGACGTTCGCAATCATCTTAATGTCTATCGCAACGCGGAAATTACTATCGCAACGAGAGAATCGCAATGTGAAATAAAAATCGCAACGAGGGAATCGCAAGCGAAATGAAAATCGCAACGCGAATTTAGTTTCGCGTTGCGATTTTAGTCGTTGCGATTTTCATTTCGCATTGCGATTCTCTCGTTGCGATTTTCATTTCGCATTGCGATAGTCATTTTTGCCTTCAACATAATGCAGATTGAAATCAACCATTACATTTCAATCAATTAAACAAGCACAAATAAGAA